AAAAGTAAAGGTGTAATTACATTATTATTGTAATATCTCGAAATTCCGGGCTCAAATTCCGATCCGCGTATGACATAATGAAAAATATTTTTTTATTTGTTACAAATCTGTCTTCAGTTGTTTGAAATAAAATAGCTTTTTTATTGGGCCCCGAGGAACTAATTAATATAATTTTGTAACTAACAGAAAACTACGTAGATATAAAACCCGCTTGAAATTTTTATTTTCCTTTTGGAACTATATTTATAAATGGAAAAAGATTCATGAAAATCGATCTAATATTATCGAGGGTTGAAAGGCGAATTGAGTCCAGCGAGATTTTTTTGTGACAGGGAATTCTCCCAAAAGTTACCAAAATCATTAAATATATAAATGCATGTCGCTTAAGGCTCAGACCCCACTCCGAAACATAAACCGCAATATAATTATATGCAATCGGGTCTTGTTCGTGCATTTTTTAAAACAATTAATTTACCTCGACGTTTCGGCTACGTTACAGCAGCCGTGGTCACGAGGAGACTGGAGAACTGGCGGGTGTCGTCTTCTGATTTTAGTTGAGGGTAATCCGGTAATAATGTTTTTAACTGATTTTCAGATGTACCCTCCACTTGATTTTATTATACGTAAAGGTGGCGACACACTGCACTTACGGTATCCGAGAATATTGTTCGTGGTTGTTTGCGATCGCGACACTTATACATTTTTATAACCGGATTCCACGTTGGTGAGAGTTTATATCCACTTTCCCGGTTGAAATTGTTGTTTTTTGATTTCAACCGCTTCACGAACAATCCTTGGATAGTAATGTCGTTCAGTGGGATTGTTCGTGAAGCGGTTGAAATCAAAAAACACAACAATTTCAACCGGGAAAGTGGATATAAACTCTCACCAACGTGGAATCCGGTTATAAAAATGTATAAGTGTCGCGATCGCAAACAACCACGAACAATATTCTCGGATACCGTAAGTGAAGTGTGTCGCCACCTTTACGTATAATAAAATCAAGTGGAGGGTACATCTGAAAATCAGTTAAAAACATTATTTCCGGATTACCCTCAACTAAAATCAGAAGACGACACCCGCCAGTTCTCCAGTCTCCTCGTGACCACGGCTGCTGTAACGTAGCCGAAACGTCGAGGTAAATTAATTGTTTTAAAAAATGCACGAACAAGACCCGATTGCATATAATTATAATGTATACAAATCGTGTGAGTTTAAAAATATTATAAACCGCAATGTTTCGGAGTGGGGTCTAAGCCTTAAGCGACATATTTTTATATTATAATTACGTAAACATTAAAGCTGCTATTAATAAAAAAGATTAGAATATATTTACGCTAAAATTAGCCATTTTAGTATTAGTCCAAATTCATATTATACAGAGAATAAGCAAACCTACTACCTTCTAAGAGTTAATATTACTGTCGTAGAACCTCTTACTAGGTTAACCTTTGCCAAGTCTCTGATCAATAATATGAATTTTCACTAATACTGAGTGCAGTCTCAGTGTTTTATTCGAACGCCAAACCTTGTTTATTAATAACACTGTTAGGGAGTTTCAAGATGTTAATATTATTATATTTTATACACTATAATAAAAATATAGATTAATACTTAAAGTCCAAGTTATAGATTATTTAAAACTACGTGTTTTCGTATGGAACGACTTTGGTCTCCGACTCGCCTGTGACGTCACAGCACCGAACTCGAGATCGTTGCACTACAAATTAAATAAAAGTCTTTGGAAGTGATGATGCAATAGGTAAAGGGTTTGCCTTCGCCCGTTAGAGGTTTTTGTATTAACTGTTGACTTTTATAATGGCATATCTACATTAGTCGATAGGGCCCGCACGAGTTTAAGTTCAGTTTCAGTAAAAACACTAATGCAAATAAGTACGGAAAACGTTACACTGTGCATGCGGGCACTATCGACCAATGTAAATGTGCTTGCAGTTGTGGATAAACCAATGGCCAGTAATGATCACCTACTGAAAATAAGCACAGAAATTTTCCGCACTCCGCATGTGGGTATCGACCAATGAAAATGCACTTGCACTACTTTATAAACCTTGGAACTCTTATAGATTCGTCAACGTCATGTCTGTGTGTCCGCCAGCACGACACAGCCACTTTATTCCGAAACGATTAGCATATAGGTATAGACAATACACTCAACTCGATGTCACGATTCACGTTGACCTCAAATATCAGTCACAAACATTGACATCACTTCGGTGTCACGACCCTCACAATGACGAAACTTCTGTGTCACGACACTCACATTGTCGTCAGTGTCGTGACGCTCACCTCGATACCTAGACATTAGTATTGACTTAAAATCAGTCACATGACACTCACGTACACGTCACCTCGGTGTCACGACACTTACAATGACGACACTTGACGTCACGTAATTCGCAGCGACGTCAATTTGGTGTCAAGACACTCACATTGACGACAGTTTTGTGTCACATCAATTATATCAAAGTTACGATACTCGCATTGATTTCACATTAGTGTCACAATACTCACTTTGACGACCCTTCTGTGTTACAACCCTCACATTGTTGTCAGTTTAGTGTCGTGACACTCATCTCTGTGTCGGGACACTCGCATCAACTTAAAATTAGTTACTAACGTAGACATCACCTCGGTGTCACGACACTAACATTGATGTCAGTTTGGTAGCGACCATCAACTCAATGAGACGACACTCATCACGACTCTTAACTCGAGGTCGCGACAGTCACACAGACGTCACTTCGGTGTCACGAGAATCACTTTGATTTCACATCAGTGTCACGACACTCTAATTGGTATCACTACGGTGTCGCGACACTCCATTGAAAAACGTTAGGTGTCACGACACTTACAATGACGTCACTATGGTGTCAAGACACTCAACTTGTAATGACGGCACTGAACACGACACTCACATTTTCGTCAGTGTCGTGATGCTCACCTCGATATCTCGACATTCGCAACGATTCAGGTTTGTTTAAGTGTTTCTTCGCAAATACGTATTTTATATTTTATAGATAAATAATATTAATTAGTCTAAGTAAAAATCAAAGTATATAAAAACGTATCGGTTTTATTTAGAAATATATTTATATGATAAGAAATATAAATGATTGATCGATTTTAAAAATGGAACATTTGACACTATTGCAAATAAGTTGCGTGTTGTGGTCATTTTGTTAAATAATAATCTAATAAAGTTTATTTCTTAGAATCTAAAGACAAAATATGTTTTCTTTAGCATTACCGACTCCCTCCCTCATTTTGTACCAAACGGCAATGTTGCGCGCGCCTCGCTACGTATTCATTCACTGCTACTATAACATTACCTATCCTCACCTCAAATGAGGGATAACTCGCGAGCCGAACGCGAACGAGGAAAAATGAGGTACTCACTCATCCTCATTAAAAAAGAGTGAGTAACACAACGCTAACAGTGACCTCAGTTTGGTATCACGACACCCCGATGTCTCAACACTCGCCTTAACTTAACATCAGTGTCACTACACTCAACTCTTTATTACGACACTCATCATTACACTTTACTCGTCGTCACGACACTCGCTTTATCTTAACATCACTCAATATGAGGTCAGTTTTGTGTTTCGTTGACGTCACTTCGATGTCACGACACTCCCATTGACGACACATCTGGGCTACGACACTCACATTGTCGTACGTTTAGTGTCGTGACACGCATCTCGGTGACTCGACACTCGCATCGACACGACACGTCACGACAATCATCTCGATGTCACGACCTGCATTGAATTCACCTCAGTGTCAGGACACTCAATTCGATAAGACGACACTCATCACGACACTTTAGTCAGTTTAGTGTCGTGTCGCTCACCTCGATACCTCGACACTCGCATAGACTTAATATTAGTATCACGACACTTACTTTTACGTCACTACGGAGTCACGACACTCAACTCGTAATGACGCCACTTAACACGACAATTAACTCGATGTCACGACACTCACATTGTCGTCAGTTTTGTGTCATGATACTCACCTCGATACCTTGATACTCGCATTGACTTAAAATCAGTCACATGGCACTCACGTAGATGTCATCTCGGTGTCACAACACTAACATTGACGTACCTTGACGTCACGTCATTCGCATTGAAGTCAGTTTGGTGTCACGATACTCACACTGATTTCACATTAGTGTCACGGCGCTCACTTTGACGACCCTTCTGTGTTATGACACTAACATGTTGTTAGTTTAGTGTCGTTACATCCCGATGACACGACACTAACATTGACGTCCCTTCGGGGTTACAACACTCATATTGACGTCAGTTTAGTATCCCGACACTCATCATGATGTCTCGACACTCGCATTCCCTTAACATCTGTGTCACGACACTCACGACACTTGGTGTCACGATAATCAACTCAATGTCGTTGACGTGACATCATTGTCACGACACTCAACTCGCTATGACGGCACTAAACACGACAGATAACTCGGTGTCACGACACTCACGTTGACCGAACATCGGTGTCACGAATCTCAACTCGTTATGACGGCACTCGACACGACACTTATCTAGTAGTCACGACACTCCTATTGACATCAGTTTGGCGTCACGACACTCATTTCGATGTCTCGACACTCGCATTTATTTAACATTAGTATCACGACACACACATTGACGTCACATCGGTGTTACGACTCTCAACTCGTAATGACGGCACTTAACATGACACGATACTCACCTTGTCGTTACTTCGGTTACACGACACTCACTTTGACTACACTTCGTTGTTATGACACTCTCATGACGCCACATTGTTGTCACGCCACTCACCTTGACGTCACATCGGTGTCACGAAAAATAATAATAATTATAATAATATATATTTATTTTCGTTTACTATTTAAACCCGTTTTAATAATCTATTTTTTTTAAAGTCCTTTAAAATAAATAGCTAAGATATTAAACGAATAAACACATTACACTTTTAGTTAACCCATTTATTTCATATAACATTTAAAAACATCGAAAATTTCATGTTTAGTTAGTAAGACTTTGTAGGTTTTGTAACAATAAAAAAAAACCTACAGTTATTTCTGGATAAATCCTATGTCAAATATAATAGGATAACCAGAACAGATTATACATAAATTCACGAAAACTCACCCCCAATCTTAATTCATCTACGTGCTAAACGTTGTATAATTTTGAATTTTATTCACTAATCCGATTCAGTCTACAAGTACATTTTTAAATAACTTAACAAAATGTGTTTGACACATTTACAATATGCAGATATAAGCAATCTGATGGTGACTTAGACAAGAAGCATACTTCGTTAAGTGTCGGTACAATAATCTTGAGCCCAATTGTCATGCACGAACTAAAAATATAATATCAAAAATAAATTGAAAGAAAAAAAGAATATAATCTTAAAAGGTTTTAAAGCAAATATTGCTACTAAACTATACTACTGCTTATAAACTCTAATATACAAGTAACTAATAAAATATAAATCTTCTTAAAGATATCAAAACAATATTCTTTATTATGTTACATATGTCGCAGTCAACTGGTTGAAAAAGATGTTGGTTATTTCATGGAATGGCGTCATTCAATTGCATGACTATATAGTTTTGTAATGAAATCATTAGGACATCTTAACCGTTATTGTAAATTAGATTAATAAATCTTTTATTTATAAATAAGAATATCGGTAGAGCGTTATAATATTCATCGAGAACTAGTATTTCCAGTAAATGGCTGTTTTAACCAGTTAGACTGCTACATATACACAAAGTGGCACATCAGGATACTACATATAACAGCATTTTAGGAATAAATTTTGAACTTAACTAATAATAGATTAACGCATAAAATCGATTGGAATCATTTTTTGTAGTAACATGATGGACTTATGTACTAAATATAAAATTCCGCGATTGAACCATGTTTATATTTAAATCAAACGTATATGTAAATAAATAAAAAAATCTGTATTTTTGACTATTACCTATCATTGGTATGGTGTGTAAAGGTCGAATATAATAAGAGTTTAATGAAGCACCATCTAGTTATTAGTTAAAGTCTAATGTAAACAATTATTAGTCATAATTTCATATCATTACATACGGTTTTAAAAAAAGTGCGGATGTAATATCACTATTGAGTAAAATCGGTTAATTCCTCCTGCTGCACTTCGAATTATAGATTTAGTCAAACTTAAAAAAATCCGATAATGTTTATTTTGTAAATTCTACATTCAAAATGCTCTATTTATATATTAATAAAAATATACCTTCAAATATTTTTCAATTAAATTTTACTTCGATACAATCAGAATGTTATGAGTTATGACGTCATATTTCTTAGTTTGACATTGACTTTATAGCGACATAGTAAAATAACAGTATTTACACAAACATGCAATACATCGCCAAGTGAGAAATACTTAGACAAGTTGTAATACAATGTAACATGTTTTGATTTGTACCCTAATGTGGTATAGAATGCCAAAATAATTTGGATATCAAGTCACTGATCTATTTAAAAGCAATTAATATACAAACAGAAGCAAAAGGAGAAATCAAATACCGCAGGGATTTCCAAGACAACTTTGTATTTTCTATTACAAATAACTCGTTATTACTAAGGTTATTACATCCGTACTTTCTCTAGCTCGTGCCGTTAGAAGAATTATCCTTATCTGTATTAGTATTTAATTACACTAGTGGTTAATTCCCGAGTGGATTTATTATGTTCCTGACAATCTCTGGGCCGTTATAGTAACCTCTGACCATGAGGGTCCAGTACAATAACGGGAACAGATCCTTCTTCATGTAGTAAGCAATGGTACTTTCACGCGCCTGAAAGCATACCGTACTGTGTGACACGCGCATATTAACACTCGTTCACGTTGTTGTATTTGATCAATTTTGCAATCACAATGCTATACTAAAAAATATTCTTAATTAAATATGCTTAAATCCACTTTGTCCTTGGTACCCATCACCTTTCGCATTCTGAGCGACTGAACTAACCACTGAGTTACCCAGGACCTTTGACGACCTCCGTAGCCGAGTGGTTCGCACGCCGGTTTCAAGGCGTCACCATCTCTGAGGTCCCGGGTTCGATCCCCGGTCGGGTCAATGTAGAAAATGAACATTTCTATATTGTGTCGGGTCTGGGTGTTGTGCTACTTTCGTTGTCTCAGATACTCCATAATACGGGGGCTTTGACTACTCATCTTGGAATCTGAACAATGTATGTGATATTGTGTAATATTTATTTATCTATTTTGAGTTAGATTCTCAAATGTTATAAGGAAATGGAACCTTACAAGACTGACGAATTTTTCAAGCACTTGTTGCTTTTTCGCTACTACAGAGTGTATTTTCATCAATGCTCAGGCAATCTACCCAAACAGCCGAAATAAATATTTTTACAAATATTTAAACTTTCGATAAAGATGAAAATTTGTTGCATTTGATAAATTTTGCCTTCACAGTGCTATACTTATCGACGTATTTTTGTAGAATTACGAGTAGATACTTAATTCATTATCAGCCCCTTTACATCCCCATCGCAGAGACTCGGGCCATCCTTATGGATGGTTAAGGAGGACGGGTCATGAGCTTCCACGCCGGCCCAATACGGATCAGAGGGTATTAACGACGGCAAATGCAGCTGGAGCCAACGGCTTAACGTGCCTTCTGACGGACGGAGTAGCTCGGACTTTTTTGGTCACCCATCCCATGACCGATCCTTGCGAAAGTTGCTTAACAGCAACGACCGCGGGCCACAGCGCTGTTTTCAAACGGAAAGTCCAATTCTTGAGCTATATTTTACTGTTGTAATGTGTTAACGGTGTGTTCAATAAATCATTCATTCATTCATTCGTTCTTATCTCTTCATTCCGGATGCGATCTGCGAGCGTGAATGTTACCTGAGGTAAAATAAATATTGCATGTTACCTGATTGAAGGGCATTGTCTCGTGCGGCACCCCGTCGTACACAAACTCGGCGAGTATACACTTGCCGTACTCGGTCAGCAGCGGGCACGCGCCGTACCCGTCGTACTTCTTGTTCGGCTCGTCGTTAGACATAGCACGCGACAGATTCATCTCCACCACCTTCAACTGTTTAGCTACAGGACAAAATAAAGCAAAATAACATTGTGGTAATGTCGCTCGCTCGCTCTGACTGAGGGGACGGTACGTCGACTTAAGGTCATGATATTCCAGCGATGGAACGCATCATTTGGGTAGCCTTCGCAATGGCCGGTCACAGGATGGGTGATCAAAAATAGTCTCCTCCGTGCTTCGGCACATTAAACCATCAGTCCCGGCTGCCGGCTGTAAATTATTGTCACCTGTAACCATTACAGCAAACAAAAAATGAACTTAAGTGAATGTAATAAGGCTTTTTAAAATGCACTATATTCTTAGCTTGTAATAAAATACAACATAGTAAAAAATAAAGAGCTTTCTTTTAATGTGCATTAAGTCTAAAACGCTCTCAAACGCACAAGTTCATAAACCAAAGAGTAAAATAATTCATAAAAAAGAAAAACTAATATACCACTAATAAACGTAACATATGTGTCAAACTGTCACAGTGCCAGTGTTAATACGAAGAAATGCTTAATGGTAAGCTACAATGTGGTGATACTGTGCTCCCACGACTATGCTACCTTATATGCGTAACAAGTAAGAATCATAAATATCTATTATCTTAATATAAGCAGCCTAAACCGTAATTTCGACGTAAGAAATTCCAATTTTCATTTTATGATTATAAATGCATTTTGTAATTGGGGTGTATAAGGATATGCGTTAGTTTTGTTACAAATTGTATATGTCGCATCATCTTTACGAAGATCACTTGATTTAGTTACTTTTTTTTAAATTGCTAGTTACTCGATTACTTAATTACTCGATTGTAAAGAGAGCGTGATTATCGATACTTCTAATTTTATTAGAATGGTGACACTGACTTTGACAGTTCGTTAACAAAATCTAATTGCCGCCATTTCTGGCACACATTCTGTTTCCGATCGCCGAGGAGTAAAGACATCTGACGACATCACGCTCATCTCGTTATATGTTCGTGTGAAAAGTGATAAAATGGAACAAATCCACGTTGGTATACACGCCTTCAGTGTTATTTTAAAGTTAGTCCTCCGATATAGACGATCTATTTGGGCTTCGTAATAGCCCCTTCGGACTACCCGCCGTAATATATATATATTGTATGTGTGTGAATATAATTACCGACGGCGGCGACCGTTTTGCTGTTAGGCGTGTTGATGCAGTCGCCCAGCCCGTACACGTTGGGGTACCGCGCGTGCCGCAGCGTGTACTTGTCCACGGCGAGGAACCCGCCGCCGTCCACCAGCGACGGGTCCCCGCGCGCGAGGAACTCGGGCGTTTTCATTGGCGGAGTCACGTGCAACATGTCGTACGGGAGGGTGATCTCCTACGGAATAGTACACCGACGAAATTTCAAAGATTACAAATAAGGCAGCGCTCAAACCAAACGTAAAGTCAGCGGCTGACAATAAAGTGTGGTTATCGGTAATAGTATATTAAAAACCACCAGAAAAAGCGTCCTAAAAAGAAGAAAAAGCGCAGCATCCCTGTGAGTCCTTTGTTACTAAATAAATACATATACATTTTTTTTTCTGGTAGTATTTAATATACCATTACCGATAATCACACTTTTATGCTTTTTATAATTATATTATTGCTTGAAAGTATTATATGCTCGTTGTCACGTGATCGCAAACATCACGTGACGTTACGCCCTTCTTACTCATATCAGAACTTATTTAATTCAACCTTATGCATACATAGACATCATAGAGACGCCATGACAGAAGTGGCTTTTTCCCGGAAATTATTAAAATAAAATTTATTTTTAGATTTAAACTTATTGAATGATATTTTTTAATATATTTCATGTATATCTATAAAATAAAAATATAAAAAAGTTATCTACAACGCTATTCTGATAATGTATACCTAATATATATCTGTCACCCATGTGAGGAATATATTACACTAATAATATTGGACTTCAGGTAGATAGTGCTATAGTAAAATTCAAGTAGTTGAGATTCTGTTGAGATGCTATTATAACCAGAGATCGGAATTAGGTAGAGTTATTTATGTACTTGCATCGAAATGTTGATATTGATGTGGACCTTCCCGGGATTTCTTTATTTCTTTCTTTCATTGATGTAAGTTTGGCAACGTCGTGCGTGCAGTAGTTTAAATTGTGTAAAAGTAAATAACTTTTTATTTAAAAAATCACGGATTTTTTCTGCTCTTTAAAATTAATCTCGGGATTTGAGGCATATCCACTTTATTCTTTCGCTGTATTAAATCAGTGTAAGTACATGAATAACTCTACCTAATTCCGACCACTGATTATAACGTAAACAATAGCTGAATTGACCTACTGATTTGACGGCGAAACGTAACAACCTGTGAAGGGTCCGAAACGTCAATTAAACTAAATAAAAACGCGATGGAACCGTTTAAAAGTTGTTCTCGTTTACCTTCGTCTTATCGTCGGTGTAGAAGACTGCCTCCTTCTTATCAGAGCGCACCTCCTTCAGTACAGTCTTGTAGTTGACCTTGATATTCTTACGTTCCACCACTTTCATCAGAGCATCCGCATACTTCTTCACGCCGAAGATCACCGGCAGGCAAGTGTTGTACGTTATGTTAGACTTCGAACGGACGTGAGACTAGAACAATGACAAACAAATCAATACAATTTATATTAGAATTATAGATTGGCTTCCCCTTGTGGTCCTTGAGACACCCTTTGGGAGATAAAAACCTTAGAAAAAGCTATTTAAGTTTAACGGTTTTATTGTAAATGGTAAATGTACTAAAAGCTAAAAAATAAATGAATGGATACAGTTGTGGGTGCCAATATGTATACATTGTTACATTTCCAAATAAAGTAACCCATATCTACTCATTTTGTGGAGATCTATGTTCACATAAAATCCTGACAATGCAACGTATAAAAGACGACGTTCTTGAAATATACACATTTTAAACATATTATGCATTGATTAGACTAAAATAAAATGGTGGGGCGCGTGCAATATTTACAATCGTCTGTTAAAATGTGTGCAAAGGTATATAAGTTGTTATTATCTTGCGGTGTGATACTTTACAACGAATATTTTAATGGACGATTATAGATATTAAACGTCGTCTTTTATTATAAGTATTAACATTATTCTATATATACATTACATTGTCAGGCTTTTATGAGAACAATAGTGCACTGTATTATACTTACCAAGCCCTTTCATTTGATACCCATATTGATGGGATTGAAGAAAAAACTACATTATCCGCCATTTTGTAGCGGCGGCCATCTTGGATTCCCAATAATATTGAATGTACGTAATTTTATTGTCATTAGAATCAAAGGTGTATACCAAATTTTAGAACAATCAGTTGACGGAAAGAGCGTGAAATTTCAATTACTAAATTTGACCCACCACGAACGAAACAAACGGGGTAAGCTAAATAAAACCGTTTAAAAAGAAGACTGGTTGTTAATATAGACTTAGAATTATCCTTATACCATTATCCATCAAAATCGATACAGTAGTTTTTGAGTGAGAGAGTAACAAACGTACATCCATACTCAAAAATTTTCGCATTTATATAAGATACGAGTGTTAATAATAGAATATAATTTGTGTAAACATTATCTTATATTAGGTTTGAACATGTGGAAAGAATGGCGGATTAAAGAATGACAAAACTCATATAAGAAGAAGGGGAAGGTGTTGATGACCGCAGAAGGACTAAGTACACCTTTCACGTTCAAGTTGATCACATGCTATTTGAAGGTGTGAGCATGTAAGAAAAGGGTAATATAGGTGGAGAGTGCGAAAGGCGTATATAAAGATCGTGCTTGCTGCACTCAATCCTCTGTGCCTACCCCGCAAGGGATCTGGCGTTGATCCCGCTGAGATATAGATAAATATATTTTCCATTATCATACGAGCCTTTCCATTTGCTATGTCACGCGTATTTTGTAAAATATTGTCATGAATTTGCAATTTATACTACAAAAGTGATGTCATGTTAAAATTTCATTTATTTAGGTTACACGTATTTAAGTCAACGATTGATACTTGCGTACCAAATTTCAAATCAACCAGTTGTTTTAAGACAAGATACGGTTTGAATCTTAATAACACCAAATAATGTTTCAACATAAATTGAATTAGTCATCATTTAGTATAATTATACTATTTGAATGGGCATGTTTCTTCTCACAATACACGATAGATGTTTGTTAACCTACTAGATGACAACAATAGGGTTACGTAACAATATTTCACTAGGATTGAATTATTTTGCTACAATATTGACTCTGCTCTGGAAAAACAGCGGCTCTACTACCGTCACGTGTAACTGATGCACTGATCGATCTGTAAAATTAAACTCTGAATGGTCTGTCAGGTTGAGAGATCATTTGTTTGCATACCTATCAGGATTGTTCTGTACAATCCTAGACCGAAATTGATTGGCGTGTTGACAGCACATCTGCCACATCATTTGAGACTTCATTTTCGGAAATGAATCAGTAGATTAAAGATGTTATTTTAAATATAAAATCGACAAAAATGATAGTGAAATATTATTTTAAGCACGTTATTAATACTCAATACTCAATAGGAGGAAAACCAATAGAACAGAAATTTAAAATCTAAAGGAGCAATACTTTAAATTAAATAAGCAGCTTATCATCGCGTGGGATAGTGATGTCATTGTATATATTTCCGTATGCAGATATAATTATTAGCGGTAACGTCTTCGTTTATACAATGTATTTGTTCATGTATACTGTTTCAATATATGATAAATTATTTACTCCTTTACACTTCTTGGACAGGTCCTTGGTACAGAAATAACTTACTCCAAACGCCTAATATAATTTTTTTTATTGTAACTGCTTATATTTGACGACTCAGATGCTTTTTACATCCGTTTGCAGTCGTAGCCATCTTTAAGACGCCGGATTCGATTCATACTATATACTATAACTATTGTAGGCATTGTGTATATATTTAAAGTTATATTTACTTGTCTACGTTCAGTCAACAGCGTATCCAAAAGAATATACTACTTTAATCGCCTTATAACCAGAGGTCGGAATTAGGTAGAGTTAGTTATGTACTTGCATCGAAATGTTGATATAATGTGGACCTTCCCGGGATTTCAAATGGACAATCTTGGACATCTTTGGACAATGTCATTGATGTAAGTTTGGCAACGTCGTGCGTGCAGTAGTTTAAATTGTGTAAAAGTAAATAACTTTTTATTTTAAAAATCACGGGATTTTTTCTGCTCTTTAAAATTAATCTGGGGATTTGAGGCATATCCACTTTATTCTTTCGCTGTATGAAATCAGTGTAAGTACATAAATAACTCTACCTAATTCCGACCACTGCTTATAACTAAACAGATAGACAATTGTTAGCCACTAAGCCAATAAAAGTGTGAAACGATAATAAAAAATGTCTTCTCACCATCCTCAAATAAGAGTCGGTCAGATAGGCGATCTTCTGTGGAGCGCCTGGACACTTGATGGGCGTGTCTGGGTACGTGAACACCGCCTCGCCGCCCTTGAAGCTGCGCAGGTCCGCCCAGGTCTTGCCGCAGTACTCCGCCGAGTATATCGTGGACACTCCGCTCGCCGGGTGCTTCAGCGCTTCCAGCATACCTGGCACCTGCCAGGAAGTATATAAAGAAACCGTTCACACTGATATCATTGACTTTGAAATAATGTAAGTAAGTTGTAGTTTTTTTTTTTTGAAGTTTTTTGGCCACGTCTCCAGGAAAGAAAGTGACTCCATTGAACGTCTCGTAGTGCATGCAGGGCAGAGTGGAGGGTACCAGACCCCGTGGTAGATCTCCCATGCGATGGACCGACCAAATAAAAGCAGCTGTGGGTGGCCAACTTCATGAGTGCACCAGAATGACGGCCAACAGAGCGAAATGGCGAGAGATAGCAACATGATGGCCACGACCACTCTGTCAAGAGCGTAACGATAAAGAAGTCGTAGAGTAAGTTATAATATAGCAGCGCGGACACGAAGATATAGGCTGTGACAGTTTTAGGCTTTACGCCTCTTTTTAAGTAATTTATTAAAAATTTGCAATTTATAAATTGAATAATTATTTAATATTGTTACTATAATTCGTGTGTCATATAAATATATAGCGTGCGAGAAAGGGACAGTTACTGGGGAAGAAAGGAACGGGTGGCCTTTTTAGAACCTCGAATAGACCGACAGGGCCGTGCCAACCTAGAATGTTCTACGTTTTTGTGTATGTTTTGTATTCTTTACAAAATGAAATCTGTTAAAAAAGTGCCAAAACATATACAAACAACATTAACTCTAATACGTTAAGGTTTTGAATCCAAAGAATATTTGAATATTACTATTTCCCTCACTCACAAATCCAAACGCATGCATTGATTCAATTGTGTTACGATGAGATACGGTTTGCTATCCCATATCTATAAATATCGGATATCGAGCGAGATACCGAATCTGACGCATCACATCGATGCAGCAGTATAGTGTTTCAAAAAATATATAGTTTGATATTGATACAATTTACGTTTCGATTTGTATCGCCTAGTATGTCTGATTGTTTGGACCTAATATAAATTGTTAGTATTCTCCACGTTTATTGACACTGCGCGAGGGCTATACTTTGCATACAGATTCAGTGGTAAGATCGTGTCTGATCTGAACTTCGAGCAGGTACATAATTGCATATCTGACAGAAGAAATGTCACGGAACGGCAGAACTGACAAATTGATATCATTTTCGACCTTGCACACTCAACGGCCATTTCGTCTGGTTCTAACGCGTAGGTACTTCACAGATCTTCCGTTAGATTTGCACCGACCTCGAGGCTCAATATTATTAGTTGATATCCAACATACCCGACTAATAAAAGTCAACAGTCAAATAATAAAATCTTTGAACTACGCATATTGTGACTTGGCGTTAAAACTCGTAAAAAACTAGTTTTAGTACTGTTCTTAGTACCGTACAGTATGATGCATTAATGACGTCACATAGCCACCGATGCGCTTGCTTCGATCCATTTAGTTTATAAATATTATGTACGTTGCCGCCGTCGCGTGAGCTTACTCTTTACTAAACATTTGTATTAAGTAAAAATAAATAAATTACAACTTATTTTATTACTTAACATTTCAACACTGTCAATACTCGTTCAGCAAAGAACTACAGTATTTACCCCCATATAAATTCGTATAAACTGTTAGAAACACGAATGTAGACTATTAATTATTTTATATGTATATAATATAAATAAAATCAATAAGAAACATAAAATTACATTTCTATAGTTATAATGAAGTGTATTAGTCATTAGATGACTCCGCGAACGTCGCATGTATATAAAACATATCGCCTATGTTACTTAGTGATAATGAAACTTTGTATTGGTTTATATAAATACTTTTAACGCAAATTTTCGGCATACCATAACACTCGAAAATAAATATAATGCTGAAAACTAAAGATTTATCTAACGTTACACACTCCCTGTGCCCTTAGTCTAATTTAAATTATCTTTATTAAACTATATTTATGAATACAACTTTTAATACATCCAAAATGTTTTATCTATTGTGGTAAACCTGAACGGGTTTTAGAAAGTCTTTTAGCTGATGATCGAGCGAAAAAATTCGCCGTATCTAAAAATAATAAATTTACGGGTTATGGTTATATTGATTCTATTCATAGGTGATTTAAGTAGCGAGCACACCACCGATATTCGTGTGATATATGTAGCAAATCTCTGTATGTAACAATATGACTGTTACATACAGATATTCGCGGTGGGGGAAAATCCGGGTTGTTGATAGTCTCTGCTTACATAATACTTTGGTCACCCTACTAAATCGATTGGCCTGAATATGGTCGGAAAAATCGACAAACGTTAAACATTGAACGATATGACTGATGATAGATGGCCAAATCAAGTAATGGCGGCATATCATGATATGCCCGGCCAGTACTCGATCGGTCTAATTCAACGATTGGCAGACTGACTTGAAAAATTAATTTATTAGCTCTGAATAGGGAATGCAATCTCGTTCTCGCGAGATCTCGATCTCGGTCGAAATATGGGCGAGATCTCGCGAGTTTAACGAGATTGCACTCGAGCATAAAAATGATTTATTATATGTGTGAGTTTATGCGAGTCCGCGTTAAAAGGCGAAGTTTTACACTTTTAGAGTACTTGTGCTTTCGAAAGGGTCTCTGTGGACACTTTGTGCTTCTTAAGAAGCTCTTTCAAAATTATTCGTTATAATGACGCGTGATGTGAATCGAAATTGATTGCTATATTTTGTTAATTTATTCTCTAATTTCTAACAGATCTCTGGGTACTCACAGTTTTCTTTCCTTGATAATAATCTCAGTTTAACAGTCAATTCGACTTAGTTAATGAGTAAAATTTTAGTTTTTGTATTTTTTTCATAAAAATCTGTATATTATAATAAAATCTTCGTTTGATATTAGCAAAGAAGACCGGTAGTTTATTTCATTTCGTATTCTTAAATGATTAGTACCTGGATGACTTGAGCTTTACTCGGCATTTTTATAAAATAAAAAAGCTAAACCTAACTAAATCGATTAATCGCCTCTGAAAGCCCCTGAATGTTATGTCATGAAAATTGTTAGAGCCGTTTTCGAGAATATAATACAGTTATTGCTCTTTTAAAGGTTTTAGATAATAAAAATATAATTGCGTAAAACAATGTTAAACACATAAAACTTTATGGAAAATACCCGTAAATATAAATGTTTATTTTATAATTCCTATATTTTTTCCTAATTCATTCAAATATTGTGATTTGAATAAACATTACAGTAAAACAGTTAACACACAAAAGTTCCAATCTCGCGAGATTCTTAATTGGCGAGATCTCGCGGTATCGATATTCATAAACTCGCGAGATTTCGCTCGAGTCCCAATCTCGCGAGATTGCATTCCCTAGCTCTGAACCATGGCGAGGCTTCGATTGCGCGGGGTCCTTAGCGTTTGCTACTTTTGCTAGGCTACTAATCCGGCCCTGATCGGTCGTATGATTGGTGCAGTTGTTAACATGTTCATTTGTTTCCATAGAGCGTAGGTACGGCGGCGCATGCGTATTGGTCGAGCGCCATAACTGGCCTAATATCAGTCGGTGCATACCCACTGCTGGCGCACAGACGTTACCTGTGGACGGAATCGTATCGTAAAGAGAAATACATACTCACCTTTGCATAATCGTTCTGGAGTCCAGCGCATACGACAAGATACTCGTACTGTATTTCGTGGCCTTCTTTAGTCATCACCGAGTTTGACTTTGGTTTTATTGATACCGCGGCGTCCTTCAGCCATTTCGCGTTACTGGGCAGTACACTCTTCATTCGCCGACGTGTTTGTGGTACAGTCTTGACGCCGGCCCCTACCAGAGTCCATAGAGGTTGAAAATAGTGCTCCTAAAGAGATTAAATAATTATTTTAGAATAGGGATGATGACTTATTGTTTTTTCTGTCTTTAAGGTAGACTATAGAAGAAAATTTAACACGTATTTAGTGCAGTATCAATAAATAACAATGATATATCGAGTTAAAATGTCGCATGACATCACAGCTTGGTACATTTTTAAAATAGGACATAGGACCCCTTCTCCTCAACTTTAATACCTATTATCTAAACCATTTCTTGTTAAATTGAAGCAAAAAAAGCGTATCTAATATTTTTCTATTGTCTCTGATTAACGGATTAAATAGAATTACTTTTTTTTACCCAGACATCATCCCTATTGGAGTGAATGAGTCATCATTGGGATACATGCTCTAGTAGCAACCTAATTCTTCAAACCCTCTTTCATGCTCTTCCGTTTCGCATTAAAAATGCTCAGATTAAGGTGATATTCAGGAAGTTGGTGCGCGAGTACTATCTCGGACTGTAATTGTATCATTCGCATTCTGTATGTTATTTATATGTATGTATTGTATGTGTAATTAGTATTTATGTAATTATTCAATATTTATATTTTTTTAATTTGTAAGTTCTGCTAGATCAAGTATATGCAGCCACGTGACGGTTGTAATATGAGGTCGAGGCGTTTCTTGTTATCTACACAGCAACACAAAACCGTAGCATTTTAGCGCGGTTTTGTTTTATTGATTTAAAAATATAAATAATTGTTATTTAGCAAAAACATTCGGCAAATAATCTTTAAACTTTAAGAACATGCATGTAGTGTACACAAGTTCGTTGATTGCAATTCAGGCGATAATATTAGTTTGATTGTTATTGTGATTAGTTTATCAATTGTAATCTGTTTTGTGTACCATAAATAAATAAATAAAAGAACATTTTAACCACACACAATTTAATTTTTTATTTCATTGCTGTCCGATCGCCTAACCGACATTTGCCGCGTTACGAAATTGAGCTGGTACATCGATAAGTCACATCAGTTGTATTTATTTATTTACTCTTTATTGCATTAAATACAAATGGTGGACTTAATGCCAAGGGCATTCTCTACCAGTCAACCTGAACGAATGTTGGATTTGCATGTTAGGCGATAAAGATCGATAGGTACCTATATCTAGATAGATAGATAGATATAAAGATAAATGCTTTATTGTACCACTTCTATCACTACATTATAAGTTGTTGTAAAATACTTAGTTGGTGTATAGAAGCATTCAAAGTGCAAAATAATTTTAATGATTTTTTTGAATCTCAAGGGTCAGTTTACAGTTTTATATATTTGTGAGTGTACATAAAAGTACTGCATACGATGATTCATTTTTCCACTGAAAATCCCTTTTGTTTACCCCACAAATGACGTCATGTTCTCCGAGTCGCCGTTTACGCGGCTTTGAAACAGTTAAAATTTAAACTTAGTTTTGGATACATATTGTGGTTAATTTACATAAAATATATTTTTTTGAGAGAATAAGCGCCTATAATTATTAATTTAAAATACTTTTTAGAAAGTAGTCCAATTTTCGGGCGATTCAACCGATATTATACATACGACCGACCCCTGCCGAGTGTGAATAAGACAGACATATAATCCGTTGAATTTTAATCCTTATGATTATTGAAACAAGATCCACTTTAAATTTAATCGCACGATGCGCCATATCAGTCGGGACTTACTGTAACTACCTATATTGTTGGTTCATTTTGTTACAGCCCTTTCTTAACAGAAGCTTAATTCAACATGTTGACAGTCCAATCTAAAATAATTTCAGATATCTTTCATTTTATAGAAACTCGATGACGTGTTGTTGTATATACAAAGTTTCAATGTTTAGATAAACATTTAATTGAACATTTCAATATCAATAAACAGCGGAGTGTTATCAATTATTGCAAAATACATTATATAAAGGTCGCCAGCTTCAAAGATTAGTAAAATTATAAATAACAAGAAAATTATTACAGTTTTTTTCTACAATGTATCAAACATCTTATAACAGTTATGTCTGTTTTAATCATATTGTCTTGAGAAGCAAATACATCAGTAACTGAGTGCACTAACCTTGAACAATATATAGAGTCTATTGTTTGCATGTACCTGTGTTACTGCATTAGATACAGATTAAATTATGATTCTCTTTGTACATGTAATATGTACTATGAATATATGAAACACTATTGAGTAATATAGTTTAAGTCAAGTAGTTCTAGCAGGCAATTTGTTGATAGCAACTGCACTAAGTAACATTATATTAACTATATATTACGTTAATAGTTCGATTTAATGAAGTTGAAAAACCCGGAGTATCTATATTCAAAACTAAAGCAGTCCACTTTCCATCATCACTACGGTTCCGGTGTCCAGCAATATATACGGGCTCCCTTGGTGATGCATCATCACAAGACTGTGAGCTTCACTGGTAGTTTCCGTTATCAGGCGACTAAATGCTGGAATAATATACCTCCACCTATAAGATTAATCACATGTAGACGAACTTTTAAAATGCATTTGAGATCTAGGTTGCTAAAAAATCAAGTTCCCGGCAATTAGTCGCTTGATGGCGGTAGTAATAGTAATATTAATGATTACTCTGTGACTCTGAATGATCTTGACAAATGAACCGAATTAATAATGGGTATTACTATCTATTTATTTATTTTATTAATCTATATATCTTATACGTTTATCAAATATTTTCGTAAGTAAGAATTTATTAGTATTTTTAGTATTGTAAGTATTTATTAGTATTTGTAGTATTTAGACACTAGTCTGGTTAGCATTGTAGTTCTTTTATAAATTTCTTTATGAATTCTTGATTTTTTTTTAAATATTTACAGTGCAACCACTTGTAATTGGGGTAAAAACTGAAAATCAGTGCTTTGCTCTTTGAGTAAATACACACTGAGTTTTCGCCCATTAGCATCGCTGCGGTACACATAATGTTTGTTTGTCCTGTTTTAGTTTCTAATAATGTGTAAAATCCAAATTGTAAAATATTGTGTATGCATGATGCAAATAAAGAATTTATCTATCTATCTAATAACTATAATGTTAATATAAATAATATATATAATCTTACTTCATTAGGCTCCAAAATATAAACTTCATCCTTCTTCAAGCGCCTTGCAAATTTTGCTGCTATGGCACATCCCCCTGATCCACCCCCAATAACAAGTAATTTGCATCTAAAATTATCAAAACAATTCAAAAGTTTGTAGATGTGAATGATTAAGATATATGAATATTATGAAAAATGTAATATAGTGTGCTTGGGTAATATATAATAATCCTAAGCCATAAAACTCAGGTTAATGTCAGATTGCATTTTGCCGTTAATAAATCTTCCATAAAAATTATTGAAATATTTTCCTTTATCTATTATTGTACAACCCTATAGTTACACATGCTGCTCGCTCACATCAATCATTTGACAACACCACACACACTCTGTCTCTGTCAAGAACTGGCTTTAATATACAATTTCATTTCAAATTCATTATAATGATTCAATATGTTAGATTTGAGATTGAATTGTATATTGTCCCAGCTTGAAAATCACTTGTTGGTTATGAATGAAATAAAAATATCTTTTTTTATTTATTGTAACAATAATACATAGTCATGTTCTAACATATTATTTTACATTTAACTATTGCAAGATTAGTAGAGAAAAGTTACACCATAAAATTATAGTATCTAACCATAAAACAAAAACAGATATATAAAATATCAAAAGAGTTACATACTGTCATATCAAAAAAAAATTTTTTTCTACTTTCATTTTATTATTATTACTGTTTGATCTTAATGAGTAGGCTTATTATTAAAAACTTAATATTATTTTTTAATAATAAGCTGAAAATGTTTTCCTTTATTTTATTTGAATTATTTGTTGTTTTACTTCTTTTCAATCCAACCCAAGAGAATGGATGACATCTACAGTTGAGAGAGAGCTAACTTAAAAAATGTATTATGGTAATTAATTATGGTCCAGAACTTTGTGGACTTCCAGAATGTATCTAAGTGCACTGCAGGTAGTTGTGATAGGCTCCCTTTATTTATTTTTTTCACATTCAAGCAGAGAGCTCTCAATTATAAAATATTTAAAAAAAATTGTATTGTGAATGTGTGCAATAAAATTGGTTTGAAGGTAGCTATAATCTTAATTAAAAAGACAATTAACACCTTGGTCTTATGTGAACAAAGAACCTGTAAAGGGTCAGAAATGTCATAAAACTAAATACAAACGCGATAAAATCATTTAAAAGATGTTTCATTTATGTTAACAATATTTTAATAAAAGAAGTGTTAAATTACAAAAAAATATGATAATTGCGATAAATGCTAATTGTGACCTAAAATATTAATTCGCACATTCAAAGAATTATAAAATAAATTTAATTTTACTAAAAAGGCTTAAGAAGCGCAGTGTGCATTCACCATAGAATTAGTAAAATTTTAAAATTTGTAAGTATTCTTTTAAACAATCTTAGCTCTTTCTCATCAAATCATAAAATAGACTTTGTTTTATTGTAAAAATGCCAAAAAGCTCAAAATATCATAATATTTAATTACTTACGAATAATTTGTATTATGAGCTGACGAAACGGAAAAACTTTTGGTTATAGGTGGTATATTTGTAGTCAATTTTTTCAAAATATTCATTTTGTTTTTATTATTATATTGATATGGGATTTTAGTCAACTTAAATCACATAACTTCGCAAACCAAGAATACCTCTGCTGATAGAATTATCTGAGTAAAAGCCGCCAATAAACGCTGATTATTGTGTTGACCGGTTTTGTTGACGTAATCGCTTTTGACAGTTTTTGATTGACTACTAGTGTTGTCTTGTGCAATCGTTCAGGAGTTTAGGGCTATGCTATAAGCCTTGACTGATGATCTAACAGGCTGTTGACAATAGGGTATTTGACACTTTTTTTGACAATTTTTCAAGTTTAAATATTCAAAATCGCGCAAAAAACGCTGCATTTTGTAATGGCGCTGATCACGTGATCTTTGTGACGTCACATGCCGGTTAATATGCCAAGACGACATAACCTATTTATCAATTAATTTATTTACTTGACATTGGCAAAATTATGCGAAATGCGCAGATAAGCCATAAATAAAAGAAGAAGAAAAGAAAATAAAACTATTTATTAACAAAGTAAACAAATAGTATTACAGAAAAGAAATTGAAGATAAATTATGTTTTGTATTTGTATCTACTCTGGTTTTGTTTATAAAAATGAGCTACAAATTGTATGTATAAATACAAATTTTGCGTATCTCTAATAACTCTGTTTTGACATGACAGCTTCCGGTTTATGTGGGACGTCACATGCCAGTAAATAGAACCTGTTATTGGTTGCGACGATAACCAAACACAGGGCGTTTTCGTCGTTCATTTAAATTCTTTAAAATGTTGAATTTTCTTTATGTTATGTATGTTACTAAAGCTGAACATATGTTATCTCCAGATTCTAAAAAATAAACTTTATCAGATTATTATCTAACAGGATACGCAACTTATTTTAATAGTGTCAAATACCCTATTAACAATTTAAATCTGAGGCTAAGCATAAATGCCACATACTACACACTACGTGATAAAATATTATTACTATCTCTCTTATATCACTACAATGTTAACTAGTGAACAGAAATGTTATCAATGTAATCGCATCTTGATAGAATCTAATACCATATACTTACTTAATACTTACTTACTTACTCATACCATATCTTTTTATAATAGTATCTATCTGAATTATATAAAATAAAAATATAAAAAAGTTGTCTTATGCGTGAACGTAAGACACAAGCATGGCTTGAACAATCCACTGCGGCACGAACGGTCTGAGACTATACCTATTCCTCTCTGTTTTTCGCTATTGACAGCATGCTGTCTTTCTCGCTCGCTAGTATAACATTACTTTTCTGAGATAAATACACATTTGATCTTTGTAATTAAACTGACAAATCGAAAATCAAAACTTTCGCAAATCGCAATTTACAGATTAGGTATTTGTAAATAAACAATTACTAATGAAAAAAATATGAAAGGAAGTTCAGTTTCAACGTCCACAAATTTATTAAACCGTTGAGACTCGTTTACGATGAACGATAATCAGTCACGTTTCGTTGATCGAAAAAGCATCGACGACCCACTCCTACCTGCTGGTATCGATTAGAACACTCGGACTACACTATACTCCATTCATTATAACATTAATAAGTTATTTTTCTCAAAAATAACCGTAAACACAATACCTTTCTTTTTTCGGGCAGTAGTGTGAAAAAGCAATGAAGTAGGTATACATATGCATGATAACATAGACAATTCACTCTGCATCAAAGAGTTACATAAACAACTAACATCTGTATCCATTCAATGTTTCTTGATTCACTTAGTTGATTTTCACTTAGAAGCTTTAGGATCGTTTTAACTATCACCACCACTCACTTCGCACATAATGAACATTTGATCAAATCAATCAAATTATCGACATTCGACAATCATGCCATCGATAATCCAATAACACTACCCTTGACACTTGCTTTGGTTAACCATTATACCCGTTACGGAGTTCAACATTTGCAGCCGTAGTTTGGAAATTGTTTCATGAAATGATGTAAAATAAAACTAATAATATTAGGGTTTACTTTAAAGAAGCAAAATAATATTAAAAGTTAACATTTTAATGTAGGTAATCTTTGCCTGTGACCGTATGAATTAAATTCTTTAGTCTTTAAATGAAAATATTATATAAGTAAAAAAAAAAGAAAAGAAAAACAACAAAAATGGCGGAAGACGACGAAATAGACGTTCTTGGAGATTTTTCATTTAATTCCTGTTTTGCGCAGAATAACCAAGGAATGTAAGTAAAGCTCATAAATATTAATTTCTTTCATTGGATATTTACGTAAAAGCTGTTTTTATGTCATTGATTACGTCAACCCCATTTCTTGACACAAGTTCATCAAAACAATAACATTGCGTATTATTTTTTATTTAACAGACCATCTTGTTCCAATCGTGAAGACACTGTTCACCCACAGTGGCTGCTTGATTCGACAGCAAATAACTGGTATGATATCCAGTCTAAAATTAAATCTAATAGGTAAGATTGAAGGAGGCAAAGTAATAACAATACTTTTTACATTATGCCTATGTTATTTAAATACCTGTGCCTGTTTTCAGCTTAATATAGAATTCATTGTTTAATGTAATAATATTTACAAAATTTATATCATAAAAAAGGATTTTAAGTGTTATGAATTATATTAATATATAATTCAAGGTAAATCTTGATAAGTGGTTTCCCACCCTTTTAAGATTATTATAGGGGTAACACATATTAGGAAAACTAATTTGAACTCCCATCCAATATCTCTATACATGCCCATGGTATTGTTTTTCACACTGAGATAATTTTTTTCTATCTCTATAAAATAGCTAACTTACCCCCAGGGGGTAATAACCCCTATGTAAGGAACCACTGTTTTAAATCAACATTATATAGTTGAGTAATAATAATATAAAATTTAGTTAATGATAACCTTTATTGTATTTTATTAGGGAAAGAGACTGCTTGCTAAGGAGGACTTCTGAAAGCTCATCTATTGACAAAGAAACCAATGAGGTGATAACTACATGGAATCAATTTGAGCGAGATCTACTTGTCAGAGAAATGGTATGAAATTAAAAATGTCCTTAGATTGACAAATCTGTGGATTTCACACAGTAAACTCATGTTGCCCGAGAATATTCCTTGATTTTATATTATTTTATAGCCCACGTGTTTGAAAATCAACTAGTGAATGGTTCAATCACAATTCTGTAATCAAATATAAGTCCTACCATCTTACTTAAATTATTAATGCAAAGGTTTTTGAGTACGGTTGAATGCATGTATGTTTGTCCCTCTTTTATAGTAAGACCACTGAACTGATTTTGATGATATTTTTGATACCATTAAATGGTTCCCTAGGGAATAAATATACTTTCAAGTTATTGTGTTGAGCACCTAACTCAAACAAGGGCATTCTTAAACAACCCTGCTTTAGTTACTATTCTTTTTTAAATTACTTATCCTATTAATATTATAAAGGCGAAAGTTTGTAAGTATGGATGTATGGATGTTTGTTACTCTTTCACGAAAAAACTACTGGACGGATTTGGATAAAACTTTACAGCAATATAGGTTATACATCAGAATAACACATAGGGTACTTTTTACTGGGAAAACTTCTCACTCCCACGGGATACCGACTTCCACGCGGACGAAGTCGCGGGCGTCCACTAGTTTATAATAATTTAATAGTTATACAGCCAGTTGCACAAACATCCATTAAAATTGTCATTAGTTTAAAGCGACATTACCCATACAAATTTGACATTCATTAGAGCTTAAAGACGTCATTAAACCTTAATGAATGTTTGTGCAACTCACTGATAATCCTGTTATAGGCTAAGTATGGCAGGAATATTCGTAAAATATCTGAAACAATCAAAACTAAAACTGAAGCAGAGATCCATGCGTTGATAGAAGCAGAGTATGGAGTGAACTTAGAAACACCAGTTTTTGGTTTAGATAAGAATGAGGACGATGATGAAGTGCCTGCAGTTGTGCAAGAAGAAATTGTCACTGATGACATTTCAAATATTTCCACTGTCACTAAGAGACCATTTCGAAAGAAAACATACAATTCAAAATCTAAAAGTAGCTTGTTAAAGTCTAATGTATATGCTGTTAATAAAAATGATCTTGTAGATATGAAGCCTTCTGAAATATTTTATGAGGAAGACTTGATAATAGGGTCAACAGAATCTATAGGATCAGAAATGGATTTGACTGATATTGTATCAAAGAATATAAGTAAATATCAAAAGGTTAACTTTGGCAAAAAGATTGGCAATCATAGAAGGAAAATGTCACGAAATTATGATAAAGGCAAGATCAGAAACAGAAGTAAAGATCTGTTGAAGTCACCTCTGAATAGACAGAGAAAAGATTCTAGTCTTTCCGAGGACAGCTTGAAGAGCCCTAAGATGCAGATACTGTTAGGGTCAGGGCAGGCCCTGCCTGTGTCAGAGGGTGAACAAGTGGTAAGTTGAATGTTACATCAAAATTTACATACGAAAGCTCTGGTAATGCTATTTTTAATTAACATATTTTTTCAGATAAAGATAGAGAAGAAGAAAGACTCTGAACCGGAAAGTGATATAGATATAGATGTAGATAGTGATGTGGAGGACTATAGTAGCAGTAGATGTAAGGGGCAAATGTCTAAGCCACAGATTGATGAAGCTCCATTAGCTGTGCCTCTCAGGAAGTTCGAACCGATGCCTAGAAGGAAGAAGAAAATTAATCTGGTATTTAATAGCTTTTTTAATTTGTCAAGCTGTAAACTTCCATATAAATTTTTCTGTTTTAAGTACAAAACATTATCAAAAAATAAATTAAAGAATACTCTGCAAGTTAAAGTTTTGTAAACAACTGCATTCGATTCGTTTTCAATTTCCGTAAATATGACCATGTATCTGCCCATCACGCCCTTTTGAAATGGATGCCTATTCGAAAGCAGATAGATGTCCGTGCTCTAACTACCCCGTTTTCTTAGTTGCAATCACCCAACTCTCCAAGCTACCTCACTTTAAGTACTTATGTACGAGTCAAACAAAAGACTTCAATCTTCTTCTAATAGACTACTTATGTGTCCTACTCATCATTATCATCCACTCTTCCTTTTTCGTTAAAGCCATTATCCTATGGAATGCACTCCCCACAGACATCAGAATGTCTGTCAGTCGGTTTGCTTTTAAAACCAAGTTGCACAATTTAATATTAGATCAGGCAGAATCATAAAAATTGCTATCTCATTTTTACTAGGCATCGTATTTATAAGTATGTATTGTATTTATATTTATTATATTATATATGTATTATGGTATATCTATAATATATAAAGCTTAATTACCACTCACTGACTCACTGACTCACTCCATGCTTTTTTCGGGTAGAAGGAGGGAGAAAATGACATTTTCATGTATGGAGACTGATAATATTTTTTTAAAATGAGTTGAAATGGCATATCGGTACAGCCAAAAAACAAAATGGCGGCGAGATAATTTTTTTAATTTCTACATTATACACTCTACGATTACGATATTCAAAATGGTCGTAGAGTGGGCTAAAAAAATGGCAATGAAAAAGGATTTGATTAAAAAAACAAAATGGCGGCCGAGATATTTTACCTCGAAAATTGACATTTTTCGACCTCTGTTCGGGCAATCGTCAATTGTTTTTCTGTGGGTTTGGAGGGGGGATTTTTACGCCGGCGACTCGGAATTATAGTCGATTTTTACGTACGGGGAGTTTTCATTTGCGCGTCAACATGGCGGCGGCGGGGGCGGCCATTTTGTTTCGGCAGTGAAAAATCGCCATTTTCCAGTGAGATTTTCTCCAAGATGGCGGCGTCGGACGGATTCGCGTTCTATGGGTCGGTCGTGAGGCTCGGTAGCATCTTTCTACTTCACTACCTATTTCTACCATTTTCGTGGTAGTTTATGAGATTTTGGGAGAAAAGTGAAATTTCGAAATACGCACTTTTCGCGGAAAACAGACTCGGTGCGGTGTGGTGCCGGGGGAGCCCTATGACTTTTGGTAGTTTTCGTTTCCGCGTGCTGACAACCCTGGGCTCCACGGTAGAAAACGTGTTTTTCGACATGCCCTCATAACCCGAATTGTTTGGGAACCTGGGTGGCCAGCGGAGAAAATCTGTGAATGAGGTCCCTTGCCTGATATAGTCGTAACTATGGGAAAATTATGAAACTTGGGAAATTCAAAATGGCGGCGCCGGCAGCGGCCATTTAGTGATTTTTTCACTTTTGCGAAAAATTCAAACGCACTTTTAGCTCACATGGCAACATCGGATCTCTTCGCCTGGTATGGACCGGTCGTGAGACTCTGGCGGTCCTTTCGAATGAGGTAAAAATTTTCCCCGATTTTAGGGTAATTTCGGAGATTTATCCCAAAAAGGTGAAAAGTAGAAGGAGCCGTTTGGGAATTTTAAAAATGCTTTTCCTCGAAGGAGGGCACTCCCCGAAATGACATTTGGCCATTTTCATCGTCATCACCTGGCAACCCTGGTGGTTGCGGCGATTTGAAAAATTTTGCCCATTTTTTACTTTGTCGACTCTAGCGCAGTCGGTATTGCCACTAGGAAAATGGTTAAAACTGCATCGGATGCGCTATCGAGTTGGCCACACCGGTACGGAGCCGGATTTTCAAAATCCAAGATGGCGGCCAAAGCAGCGGCCGTTTTATCCGGAAAATTGGGTATCGTCACCACATCGAGCCGATTTTGACGCACTTGCTGACATTTGTCAGAGGACTTCCGGGGAAATAATTTTTAGGCAAGTAACTAAAGTGTTGCCAGGTGAAAAAAAATCTTGAAATTTTTTGATACTTTTTGAGATTTTTGAGGAAACAATTTTTGTCGAATTTTTGAACTTTTTTGATTCAAATATTTTAATTTTAACTTTTCAAGATACCCGATGGAAAAAATAGAACGATCGACTGGCAACACTGAGAGCAAACAACCTTTGAAATTCAACCTCGATTTTGACCGACTTGGCAACCCCGCAAGTATTTGGCATGTATGGAGCGATTGTGTGTCTCTATAGCCTCTTTCATATGGTGGAAAAAAATTACCCGACTTTAGGGTAGTTTTCGAGATTTACCCCAAAAACTGTAACTGTCAAAGGAACACTTTTAGAACTTGAAAATTAGTATCCGTCGATGGAAGGCGTGTCCCGAAATCACATTTGACTATTTTCATTGCCTACACCTGGCAACACCGGCAGCTACGGCGGGTTGAATATTTAATGTCCACTATTCACGTTTTGGACTCTAGCGCAGTCATTATAGCCGCTAGGAAAATAACAAAAACTGCGTTGGATGCGCCAATAGGTGTGCTACACCGGTATGGGGTTCAATTTACAAAATTCAAGATGGCGGCTTTAACAGCGACCATTTTATCTAGAAAATTGATAATTTTTCACGACTTTCACTTAATAGAGCTGATTTTGGCGTTTTTAGTAACATTTTTAAGAGCACTTTTGACAAAAAATATGTATTCTGCTGAAGTGTTGCCAGAGAAAAAAAATCTGTAAATTTTTTGATACCGAGATTTTTAGGAAATTTTCATGTATGTCATCCTTAATGAAAGTTTTCATGCTAAAATTTCACTATTGCATTTATAAAATAATTGATGGAATAATTTGAGTGATCGACTAGCAGCGCTGATAGTAGTCACCATATAAATTTCAGAATGATTCTGATCGAGCTGGCGACTCGAGAGCTTTAAAGCATATATAAACCGTTTGTGTATCGTTACCCAATCTTTACGTGGTGAGAAAAAATTCCAATATTTTCGCCAGAAAAATAAAGCGAGCGAGACATTGTAATTCGGTTAGATTAGAACGGTGACTAAAACAAAAAGCGAGCGGAGCGAGCCATAAAGAGTGACCATTTAGAGAAATTTGATTAATTGGTATGGTAAGAACTGTGACTAAAATAAAATGCGAGCGAAGCGAGCCATAAAGAACACCACCATAGAAATCTAATCAATCAGTTACATTAGAACTGTGAATAAAACAAAAAGCGAGCAATAATTAACGGAGACCTGGTCTATTGCTTAAAGTACTGTGGCCAAAATAAAGAGCGAGCGAAGCGAGCTCATGGTAGACCATTAAGAGAGACGTGATCAATCGATTATGTTAGCAACGAGTCTAAAACAAAAAGCGAGCGAAGCGAGCCATAAGGAGCAACTGTTAAGAAAGATTTGGTTAATTGGTAGGGTTAGAACTATGACTAAAATAAAATGCGAGCGAAGCGAGCCATAAAGGACACCATCAATAGAGACCTGGTCAATCGGTAAGATTAGAACTGTCAATAAAACAAAAAGCGAGCGAAGCGAGCCATAATAAATAGAGACCTGGTCAATTGGTTAAGGAACTGTGACCAAAATGAAGAGCGAGCGAAGCGAGCCATAATGCGAGACCATTAACAGAGACCTGATCAATCAGTTAGATTAGCACTGTGAATAAAACAAAAAGCGAGCGAAGCGAGCCATAAAGAGTGACCATTTAGAGAGATTTCATTAATTGGTAAGGTTACATAAATAAAATGCGAGCGAAGCGAGCCATAAAGAGTTACCATTAAGATAGATTTGGTTAATTGGTAAAGTTAGAACTGTGACTAAAATAAAATGCGAGCGAAGCGAGCCATAAAGAACACCATCAATAGAGGCCTGATCAATCAGTTAGATTAGAACTGTCAATAAAACAAAAAGCGAGCGAAGCGAGCCATAATAAATAGAGGCCTGGTCAATTGGTTAAGGAACTGTGACCAAAATAAAGAGCGAGCGAAGCGAGCCATAATGCGAGACTATTAAAAGAGACCTGATCAATCAGTTAAATTAGAACTGTGAATGAAAAAAAAGCGAGCGAAGCGAGCCATAAAGAGTGACTATTAAGAGAGATTTGTTTAATTGGTAAGTTAAGAACTGTGACTTAAATAAAATGCGAGCGAAACGAGCCATAATGTATGGAGACCCTTTTTCTTTGACGTATGGTACTTTGTGTATATACTTTGTGTACTTAAACATAATTCATTTGAAGATAGAATTTACTAACTTTTTCTAGGTAATTTCAAACTGTAAACATAACAAGAGGCGGACCTAAACTTGTATAGGTTTAGTATGTCATATGGGTTAGGTTAGGTTAGTGTATGAAAAACAACGCACGAGCCGAGCGAGCGTAGCGAGCGTGCCGCGGCAGCGGCCGGCGAAGTGCCAGAAACGAATCGCTTTTGTTGATGGTATGGTGGATGGTGAACATTTGATTTATAATGTTTAAAAGATGATCGTGTAATGCTGACTATGAACAATCCAGCCCACGCTATGGCCATTTTAATTTCAGATTTTATTTTGATTCACTTGACAATTCGGGAGCTTTATAGCGTGTATATGGATCATTTCATTTCCCAATTTTTCCAATTTTTGACACGATAATTACTTTTTAAAGTACACTTTTCTATACTTTTAGACTAATGAGAAATTATGTCCTTTTTTATTCAAACTTATTTAATATTGTAACTTAATTTCTGTGTAAAAGTTTCTATAATCGTAACCACCTTTTCTCAAAGTTTAGTATTATTTCCAAGTTTTTAAATATATGTATATGCAAAAACGATAAATAATGATCAATAATAGTAACACTTGCGGAAATATATGTTCGACTGTTGTTGTTAATACTAAATATTAATTTAGTATTAAATAAGAATAAGAGGGTAAAATACTACAAGCCTA